TGCAGATGTCTTGTGAGCTGGGTCCAGTGGGGATGACAATATGCAATGTATGTACCATGGTTGCCTCCTGATTGATATGTTTTAGTTTTTAAATGTTTTTTTCTTTTTCTCCTTGAAATAAAATGAATTTGAAAACAAATAAAGGTTGATAGAACACATCAAAATAAATAAATAAAACAAAATACCACATGCATGATTTTCTCATAAATGTAAATACAAATATAAAGCAAAGGCCAGCCAATTTTGGGGTCATTGTGAGAAAAGAAATTGCCAATATTTGAATTTAACCTCTCACATATATATTTTTTAATTAAAATTCTATGGTTTCTTCTACTTTTATGTAACTTCTCAACTTTTCCAACCACTAGGCCAATCTCTCTCCATTCCTTCAAGAGTCACACTTCTTAAAAGTAGTATCCCCACTGCCTTCTCCATTTAGTAACTCCCACCTGCCCTTTAAGTAGCATGGCTGGCCCCTTCCAAGGAAGGGACAAAACCAACTTCCACATCACTAAAATCACAGGAATATTTCCAGACCCATTAAGTTAGTAGATCTCCAAGCAGCGTCCAGTTCTATGGTAGCTCCCCGCTTAAAACACTCTTCCCTTGACCCCCAACCATTTTCTGCTTCCCTGCTAGCTCTCTAGTCTTCACTCAGGTCTCTCCTCTCCCCAGTCACACTCATCCACGTCCATGGTGGCTTCCATCGCCACCCAGGAGGCCCACACATCACTCCTTCCAGCCAAAACTTCACCCCTGAGCTCCACAGCACCCAACTGACTGCTTGGCACCCGCTTCCTCAAGAAGTGAGAGGGAGGTGAAATGTACTATACACACAAACTAATCTCACTTTCTAAAACCTGTCACAATCTTCTCTGAAACCTTAAAATGTTAGTTTTCTCTTTTTTTAAACAAAGCAAAAAATGTATTTAATAAAGGTCTCAATATAAATTGTAGTTGAAAAAAGTAATTTTATTTTTTATTTATTTATTTTTTTTACCGGTACCAGAGATCGAACTCACAACTACACCCTTGTAAGGAAGGCGCGTATGCCACTGAGCTAAATCTCCAGCCCCTAAAAGTAATGTATTTTTAAAACATTACTAATCAAGGTAACCTATATCATTTCCAACAGATAGAAAATCTTTTCAATACATGCTTTCGGTTTTAATAAAATGTTTAATCAGATCAGCAAAGCAGAATGATTACAAATAATACCTCATTTTACAAACTATCTGCTACGACCACTTATATTAGCTATAGTATACATATTTAAGTATGCAAATAACTAAAACATAAACTCCAAAATGTGAGTACTGTGTACTTCTGACTGATGAGATTATAATTTTTATTTTCTCCTTTGTGGTTTTGTATATTTTCCTGAATATTTCATTATACAAAAGAAAAAGGTGGATTTTCAAATTATTCATCAACGAACTCTACAAAATTGCCTCACCTTCAAAGAAAATTAAGTTCTAAATCCATTTTCACATAGTTATTTGGAAAGCTGTATCAAACTGAAGCCAATAGGAATACAAAGCCTGATTATTTGGCCTACATTATTATATGAATAATTATCTAGTGTTCACTTCTTAAAAACTTAAAATTCTTTATACTTTCATTTTTTAAAATATTTAGACAATCAATAAAATCATTTAAAACATATCTAACATTCTTCTAAAAAAAAAAATCAATGAATTGATAGTAACAAATAGCACTTTTAAGCCCACAATATAAAATATGGGGCTGTGGCTCAGTGACTGAGCACTTTCCTAGCAAACGTGAAACTTTGGTTTTGATCCCCAGCATGACAGAAGGAAAAAGAATGTGTGGGGGTGCGCCTGCACATGTGCAAATGTATACATATGTATGATACCAATTAAATAACTATATAATTTCTAGAAACAAACTAATACATACATCCCATGTGATTTATGGTTCTTAAAATAGAGAGTCTGGTAATATGAAACTTCAGTTCAGTGGAATCTTATTCATGTTCTGAATTAAAATAAAATTTAAAAAACACAAACTAAGAAACAGACTTCATTCCTAAAGAAGTCTACCTTCAATGTACCCACAACACAACAAATGCACATTTTCCCGTGTGTGTGTGTGTGTGTGTGTGTGTGTGTGTGTGTGTGTGTGTTAAAAGGAACTTTCTTGGGTGCGGGGGTTTCGGATGAGATCTATGAGGATATCTTCCTCCATGACGCTGGGCTGCAGGCCTGACTGGGGGGCCGGGCCCCTGAGACTCCCGCTCAGCAGCATCTGATCTGTGGAGTGGTGGGGAAGGACTGCATCTCCCAGTAGTCCCTGGGCCCATGAAGGGCCCTGGGCCTGCTTCTTCCCTATGCGGCACTTTGTTGCTCAGGAAGCCTTGGGAGTCCCAGCAGATGCTGATCTTAAGAGCCATACACAGAAAGAAACTGTGTATAGAATATATTCCATTTTAAAATTTTCTATCACTAAATGATGTAGAAATAAAAACTACATGTCACCTAAACTGATTTCTAAAACCTCCATCCCAAAATTTTTTTTAGTTCAGTTCAAATATTGGCAAGTTACAGGAATTTTACAAATTTTAAGCTACGCATGGTGGCACATGCCTAGCTTAGCAAGACTCTATATAAAAATTACAAAAATAAAAACAAACTAGGGGTGTAACTTAGTATAAATGCCCTGGATTCAATCCTCAGAACCACAGAGCAAAGAAAAATATCATTAAGTACATATCTAATAATATTTACCAGTGTATTTACTCTTTGACTATTTTCACAGCATCACATTTTGCAACGCTGGGTGTGGGCTGTATGTTACTGTTAACACAGCACACTGCTCCATCACTCTTACTCCCCAGAGACAATCATTCTTACTTATGGTCAAACACAGACACTTGGTGCCCTCTTGTGTTCCTTCTCCTACATCCTGGAACAATTCAGATAAAACTGATTTCCCCAGAGCACAAAGTCACCCTAATTTTCTCCACTCCATCTCCCAAACCTCTGTTTGTTGTTCATAAGGAAAAGTACAAAATAATCTGAGATCAGGTAATAATAGATGGTGCTAATTAATCCTAAAAATTCAAAGCAATAATCCGCCTAGGAAATATTTGTAAATTAACATTTTTCCCAAAGAGAAAGGCTACAGCAAAAATGTAGGTTTGCATAAGGAAAATATTTGGAGAAAACAGGCTTTTTCTCGTATTATTCCACGAACTAAATAAAATAACATGACATTAGAATTTGAATACTTAACCACCTTTGACTGAACCACTCGAGGTTTATACAGAGGTGAGATCATCTGCTTGGGGATAATATTCTGTATTTGGACCTCTACAACCATACACATACTCTACTAGTACACAACTTTTATTCTACATGTTTAGATGCTCTATGTTACATTATAACTTAAATAATTTGCTGGCATGGTGGCACACACCTATAATCCTAGCACTTGGGAGAAGGAGGCAGGATAATCGTTCCAATTTTAGGCCAGTCTGGGCTACAAAGTGCGCTCAAGGCCAATCTGAACTGCATAGTGAGACCCTGTCTTAAAAAGACCTAAAAAGGGGTCAGGGGTTTAGCTCAGCAGCACAAGCACCTGATTGGCAAGTGTGAGGTCATGAGTTCGATGCCCAGTACCAAAAAAGAATTTTATATGGAAAAAGCTAATCATAACCTAACAAAAGAAAGGTTTTCATGTTCATACACGATAACCTACAACCCCTAAAAGTCAAATTACCTATGCTAAGTGGACCCAACATTTGGTGCGCCTTTATTCCACTGCTTCCAAGCCAAACTGTCAAACACACAGACATAATGCTCTCTACACATTATACAAGCAAAACAAATAATGTATCGCCCTACAGCTAAAACGCAGCAAAAGTGCTATTTATTCAATTTAGCCAATGCTAGCCAAAAAATAAAAGATTTGAATCTGAAGTGAACTAGTAAGATTATAATCTGAAGTAAACGAGTTATTAGTGAATTTACCCTTCAATACCACAATTTTACTTATAGTACTTAATTACATTTGAGATTTTCTTATTAAATACAGATCGATTGTACTTAAAGAATTATTTCTGCTTCATTTGTCTTCTAAAATAAAAACAAAATCTAGCAGAAACAACTATAACAGGCCACACTTATTTAAAAAAATCCAATTCTAAAATCATTCAAATGACTTTATAATTATTAAATAATACCACTATTTCACTTTTACATGCTTGGACTCAAATACAAAGTTAGTGAATCATGTAATTAGAAATTAATTTGTAGACAGTAATTAATAACTTGACAATCTAGGCCATGACACATTAGTTCGTAAAATGGCAAAACTAAGTATTAATTCTTACAACAATGAAAGTAAAAGGTACAGTAAATAACCATTTAATAACTTGTTTTCTGAAGAAAAGGATTTTATTTCCAATAATAATACTGTACTTAAATACATCTCGAGTCCACACATACTCAGATGACATTTCTGTATCAACCTAAAATTTCCTTTGATTCTTGTCTCTTAAATACAAAAAAATTATAAATGCCAATCAATTACTCTTGGTTATAGAAAAACTTCAACATTTTGTATTTCTCTAACATGCATGGTCACAGTCAAATTTTACTTCCACAAAGAACTGTCATTGCGTGACTACTATGCCATGCAAAATATGTTACAATTTTAACTACATTAAACTTACATTAGTATTTATATTTTTATTATTCTAGCATTTAGAGATTCATATTAAGATCTACTCAAATTGTTAACAACATTTCACATATAAAACTTAAAAAAGGATGTCTTTTTCCGTTCTTAATTTTAAAGAAATGGTCATTTTTTTTACATTTTCCTTAATTAAATGATTTCTCTAAAAGATGTAACTTCTAAATGCCAATGCACAGATAGAGGTTTTAGTATTCCCAAAGTTACTAAAATCTTTACAGACACCTTTTCTTAAGAATAACAAAGTATGACACAGATACATAATAAGCCTTTAAAAATACCTGAGAGGTCTTGCCTGGGGATTGCCTGCTTCTACATATGGATGTAAATAATCCTTTATGTAGAGATCAGCAGCACTATTAGAATGGGTGCAAATGAGAATCCTGCTGAAATAAATGGTGCAAATAAAAAGAATGATAAAACAAAACTATTCAAGCAATATAATTCCAAAAAAAAAAGAAAGACAAAAGCAGTGGCCATCTTAACAGTATACACTTATGTCAACCTACTCAGTACTGTCTAACACATTATTCAATAATGCCTTAGAAAATTATATTACTCTATAAGCTAAAAATAAGTTCCTTCAAATTAAGTTCCTACCTATAAGCTAAAAATAAGTTCCTACCAATTAAATCTACATATAAAAAATGTACTTTTAAACTCAGGTATTTGGGTTGTAACATGGAACAAATTCCTTAGCAGACTTTTAAGTTTTAATGGCTATTATTTTCCACATTTCCTATTTTTAAAAATTGTTCTAAGAGGATTCACATTTTAGTTCATGTTTTTCCTCTCTCTCCCTCTTTGGTATTTGGGAATGAGTGCAGAGCACTGGACATGTTAGGCAAATGGTCTCCCACTGAGCTACATTTCTAACTCCAGAGGTTTGTTTTTATTTTTCCTTTGTTTTTAATTTCAAGAGCTGAATGAAAACTGTCCTACTGGCCCTCCTCATTGATATTTAAAGTAAGAACAGTAGCTGCATCCCCACAAGTGAAATACAGGCATACATCCCATGCCCTCACCTAGTTTCCTGCTGCTGCAGTATATGCTTGACAGCTTGAGCTAGTGTAAATGTTTTGCCCGTCCCATAGGGTCCAATGATAAGGACAGGTGGCAGCTGGATGGAAAGTGGAGTGGTAATGGCCAGAACAGCTTCTTTCTGTTTTGCATTTAGTCGAGGATCCAACTGTTCATCCCACTGTCTGTGGAAAATTAAGAATGTAAGTTATTTTAAACATACATATCTTACCAATGAATAGAACATGATACACAAGTACCCTGATTTTTACTGAATAACTAAACCAACTGAAATAGCACAGCATCTATAACAACTAATACTATTCTAAACTCACGTTTTTTAGGAAATTACCTAACACAGTCACTGTAGGGTGTTTTACCATGTACATCAAAAGTAACTTTGGGGCTGGAGATTTAGCTCAGCGGCGTAAGTACCTGCCTTGTAAGCAGGCGGTCATGAGTTCGATCCCCAGTACCGATAAAAATGAAAAAGACAAAAAAAAAAAAAAAAAAGTAACTTTAGTCATCTTGTCCTAGTGCAAATACAAAAAGTTCTGTCAACTAATGTAAAGAAGTTAAATTCTTGGGGGCTGGGGATTTAGCTCAGCAGCATAAGCGCCTGCCTTGCAAGCAGGCAAACGTGAGTTCGATCCCCGGTACCGATAAAAAGAAAAAAGAAATTAAATTCTTCTGGTTTAGATACTGCCAATTTTGTAGTGACAATATTTTAAAAATATAATTTCTTTGTTACATATAAGTATTAGAAAAAGCCCAGTGTGGTGGCACACAACTGTAATCCCAGGACTCAGAGGATAAGACAAGACTGTTGTGAGTTCAAGGCTCGCCTGGGCTGTGAGTTCAAGGCCAACCTGAACTACATAACAGACCTGGTCTCAAAAATTCACTACCCCTCACTAAAAATATCAGAAAACTTTTTTTGATAATAATGAAATATTCATTTATTTGTGTAACAAAATACAAAAGGAAAACTCACTGAATTTCAAATTCTAGTCAACTGAAAGGTCTCTTACTTTAAGGTTTAAAACAAAGAGGAAAAGAAAAACTTCTAAGTCTCTTAACTAAAAGTTACGGAAGTTTTACAAAATGTTAACTTAGAAACTAGAAAACATTTATGAAGTATCGAAAGCCAAACAATAAGAAACATTTTCTAATATTTTTATAGGCAAAAATTATAAATAGATATCCATTTTTCCAGGATCTATGACACCTGTCATGGTATCACAGACAACTACTATAACATGATCTCTCCGAGTAGTGTCCAATCTGAGTTGGCTAAATTTTGAAGATTTAAGCAGACAGCAGATGCTAAAATAGATCAAGCCAGGTCTTTCTCACACCTACATTAAAACACTAAATATCACGATAGTTATGGTAAAAATGATAGGGATATGAACTAAAATAGGAAAAGTGGGAGTCCGGAAATCATGGCGGATAGATAGCAGCAGTCTCGAAGGATCTCTGAGAAACCGCATTTGAAATCTAGGAATGCTGCCGGGCAGGAAGTCCCAAGCAAGGGGGGATATTCTTTGCTGACCCAGGAACAAACTAAATTAAGAGAAATCATCTGCAAACGCAATCCTGGTGATACAGCAGGCACAGATAAGGTCTCAGCACGGAAGCCGGACCCACGCCACTGGAAACTGCGATTTGAATTACCTGAAGCCGCTGTTGCGTGCAGGTCGGCACAGCGGGGAGAGAGGCAAGAAAGCTCAGAGAGTGGGAAGCATTGAAAGAAGTTGGGAGCAGGACTGGCTGGGTGCCCCGCATCAACCCTCGGTGAGTGAGCGGACTGGGACCCTTCCATAGAGAAGGAGGCTTTAGCGGAGGACATACTTGGATCAGGCTGACTTCCTGGAATGAGATGCTGCAGTGACTTCAGTCACATATCCCCTCTCAAGAGGGATTGGTGGGGAGTGCCTAGCCTGCAAGACGCCGCTGGCTGAGACCCAATAGGCTAGCCCAACTCAGGTCTCAGCGCCTGGAAGTGCACCCTAGCGGTGAAGCCTTCGGTAGGTTGACCTGGAGGGGTGGGCCCAGCATAGACTGCCCAGGTCTGTGTCTCCCTGGTGCCGCTGTGGTGGGTGGGAACACCTAGCCAGCGCAATTCAAACAGACTGTGGCCGACACGGAAGGAAGCTGGGCCTCCTATACATGCTTAAATATAAAGAACAAAGAATGTGGGAAGAGGGAGCAACAAGAAAGGCTCCTCGGCCCCCAATCCTGAAAAACATGCAATAGCAGACACGGCACCAATAGACATAAAGCACTATCTCCAGAGCCAAATAGACGAGTTCAAGAATGAAGTTATTAATGACCTGAAGCAAGACATAAGCAGAATAGTTAGAGAAATGCTAAGCACCGCCCAAGAAAAAACAGATGGTAGAATGGAAGAACAGAAAAAAAGGGGAGAATTGTTTGATGGAGAAGATAGAGAAAACATAGAATACGTAAAGCAGGTTCAAAGAGATTACCAGGAAACTAAAAACTCTATCGAAAACTGGCATAACAGCTTGAAAGAAACTAAGGACAGATTATCTGAACTGGAGGGCAGATTTGTAATATGGAAGCATGAAATGAAAAACTTCTTAAAAATAACAAAAAAACAAACAGCAATAATAAAACACTAGAAGATGATAAGAGGATCTATAACTTAAGAAGTAAGAACATAAGAGAAGAATTGGGAACACAAACAAATGGACTACAAAAGCTATTCATAGAAATAATCCAAGAAAATTTCCCTAATTTGGCAAATGGTAAAGATACTCAGATATATGACGCATACAGGACTCCAGCCACCTACAACCCAAACAGAGCTACACCTAGGCATATAATAATCAAAACTCCAGAAACCCAATATAAGAACAGAATATTAAAAGCCATCAGAGACAAGAAACAGATTACTTACAAGGGAATACCCATCAGAATTACAGCAGACTTCTCGGCACAAACCATCAAATCACGAAGAGCGTGGGGGGAAATAATTCAAGCTTTGAAAGATAGTAACCTCCAGCCAAGATTGATATATCCTGCACAACTGTCCCTACAAATTGATGGAAAAACAAGCTGCTTCCAGGATAAAGAGGAACTAGGGGAATTTGCAACCACTAATTCAACTCTACAGAGAATACTGCAGGATAGTCTAAAAAAGGAAAATACCAAGATTCCAGAAACAGTGGCAGAGCGGCCACAATGAATGGAGCAGAAAACAAAATGAAGATGATAAACTGACAACAAACAACAGAAAAAGAGCTCAACAAAAATGAGGCAGAGAAGATCGAGAGGTAGGAACAGCCATTTTGGAGAAAACAAGACATCAAAATAGCTAGTGCTGATTTAGTATCATCTTGTTTTGAAGTCCCATCAAACGTGTATTCTTCTGTCTCCATTGGTCTTAAAAGGTTGTATCTTACTGGATTTTATTATATATGATAATATAAGCAAAAACTTTTATAGACAAGGAGTTTATATAGAAACCATTGTTCATTTTCTGTTAATTGATTCTAAATACCCTGTAATAATGTCATTCTCTTGAATGGTTTTATAGTGTCTTGATATGTTTGGTGCTACAGTATATGAAGTTATACTCAAAGATTTTAAGGAAAAGGACACTATGGTAACTATTTTTATGTCAGGATATCTTGTGGTGAAACACTATTTTGCTTAAATGGTTATGATTTGACCTGCACTGTTCTGTTGTTATGCCCTCTTTTATCTAAATCCCCCCTTTTTAAAATTATTTACTTCTTTCTATTTTTGTAATAAAATGAAAAAAATAAAAAATAGGAGGATACATTATAGTAACCTACTTTGATTTCCTATTAACTTGATTTGATATCCTGTATTGCCCTCACCATCTGGTTTTGACTAATTTTCCTCTATTCTGCTTTGCTTAACAGTACCAAGTTTGAAAGTATAGGCATAACTGTGAAGACAATAAGAATTATTATGACGCCCATTCCAGTTGACTATTATTTTCTTTTAACATCCTGTAATGTCTCCAATGCTTTGGTTTTATTCTTTACTGTTTGGTTCAATTTTATTATAACTGCCAATTCTTCTTAAAATAGCAAGAGGCAGTATGGTAACCACTGTTGATCACCTTATATTTTGTTTTTACATTATCTATTATGTCCATCCTTTTGATTTGACTCTGTTCTGATATGTCACATTTGCTTTTACTCTCTTCAAAAGCAGTAATAAGAACTGCGGGAGTAATAAAACCCAAAATGTGTAATTGTCATTGTACAAAAGAAAAGAAAAGAAAGTGCTCTAAAGGATATAACTGCATATATGTTTAAGTGTATAAGATAGATAACCATATTACTGTTTTTTGGATCAATGAACAAAACTGTTTGCATTCTCACTGTTTGAAAGTCCACTTTATATGCTTCAATTTTGTAAGTTGAACAACTATTTCTAAGATGAGAATATGTAATCTATTAACTAGTGATTTCTTACTGTTTATTTTTTAAATTTTGTATTACTTGTACCCTTTTTCTATTTTTTTTTTCCTTTTTCTCCTTAAATAAAAAAAAAATAGGAAAAGTGTGGAAAGATTTTTTGAGAAAATAAGCAAAGTGCCTATAAAATAATCCTGAAATAGGAAGACAGAGTTTAGACAGGAAAATTCTATGAGGTAACATACTGCTTAATCAGAAGTTAATTATACATAAAGAATCATCACAACACTTTTACCTAGTACACAAAAAACAAAAATGAAAAATCAAACCTACAATGTTAGCCTTGACTAATGCTCTTAAACCTCCCCCTTCAAAATTTAAAAGTATAAAATGTTAAAACTATGACCACATAAATATGCCATTACTTTTTTCTGAACTGTAAAATTTTTTAAGTTAAAACAAAAAGATAAAAACACTGAGTAGTGGTAGTAAGCTTTTTTCAATGCTGCTTATTAAATCATTTTCAGAGAGTTCCTTTGCATTAATCAGTTAATTTACTCATTGTTTTGCTAGTACCTAGCAATGTTCCATCTTTATAAGTGAGAAAAGGTGGTAGGTAATCTCTAAGTCAAGACTTGATACATGTAGGGGGCACTGAGAAATGGTCTGTTAACACAGCATGATTCTCTGCCTTTCATTTGGCCTTGCTAGCTATGAAACATTCCATTTCCCAGCCTCCTTTCCTGGAATTAGAAACAAGTCCCTCAGAAGTCCTTTTATATGCAGATGAAACCTCATTATTTTTTTTATCTAAAAGAAAGCTCTTCTTGCTCCATTGCCTTCTTCCTTCAACTGGCTGGAAAAGACGATGTGGTAAATAAATCTACAGCAGCCATCACACAAACTGTGAGACAACAGCATCAAGAAGAAAATCACCTGGGCATGGTGGCACACATCTGTAATCCCAGCACTCAGGGGGATGAGGCAGAAGGACTGCCATGAGTTCCAGGCCAGCCCGGGCTACAAAGTGAGTTCAGGCCAGCCTGAACTGCATAGCAAAACCCTGTCTCAAAAAGACATAAACAAAATAAAACAAAAAACAAAAAAAAAAAGAAAATCTTCAGGGGGAAGGGAGACCTGATGGCACTACTGCACCCCTGCACCAGCCATGAATCACCTCTAGTGTTGCATCTCCACTTGGTTTAGCTGCATCCATGCCTGACCTCTATGGCTCTGATACCTGCCCCATCCTGCCATGGAGATGATGATACTTACAAACAAATGATTACTTAAGACCCAATGAGATAATACATACCTTTAAATAAACTATTCACTTAAAGCTGTTTGGAAAAATAACTGAGTGATAAAACTACACTTAATTTTACTTTCTCTTGCTATAATACTCTGAGAATTCCATTACTTAGCTAGTGTATACTTTAAAAAAACAAAACTTTTAAAAAACACACTCTAGTCTTTCAAATCTGGGGACTTTAAGAATGAGATAGATATACGGTTATATATATAAGTACAAATCTAAGAGATTAATGACAAACTTACAGGTGTAATTCTGAAATATGTCAATATCTCTTTTTATGCAACCCATCCTGCTTATCAACTGTTTCAGCGTAAATAAGTGCTTCACAGCAGATCAGTAACTTTATCAATGTCAGCCATCTCTGTAATTTCTGGCAATGAATAATGAATATGTAAAGAAAGCCAATGATTAAAACAAATTATATTTATTTATTGTATCACCACTAATTAAGGGAAAGATTTATAACACATATGCTATGATTTATCTTTGATTTTCACAATTTAAAACAATACAGTCTCTCCAAGTTTATTCTGACTAAAATAATTTCATTCTCAGAACCAAATTAATTCAAAGTCTCCTCTTCCTCTGATATAACACATTGTTATAATTAATTTACAGACTATATATGCTCAACAGTAATCTCTCACCTTCATTTACCTATCTAATTATACATTACCCCAGAAAAGATTTTAAATGACTAATGGCTTATCAGTATGTCCCTATACAAGGAATTTTCTAATTTACTATTTATATTATAGTAGTAAGAAGTTTTTTCTGGTCGAATGTTTTCTGCTACTGGCATTTTTCTGTTACTTTTACAGTGTCTGAATGCTATACATAATTATCAGAGGTAAACATACCTGAACGCTATATATAATTATCAGAGGTAAACATACCAAGGAAACATGCTTAAAAGTTTACCAATATAGCTCACATTTGAAAAATTAATTTTCATCTTTAAATTTACTTATTATCTACTTGAATGTGTCAAATATTAACAATGTGAAAGATACTGTTGGTATGCAAAATAAGGCATAGTCTCTTAACAAAGCTCAGAGTCTAGTGAGAAAAGCAGAAGTATACAACACTGAAAAAAATTAATTGAAGAGAAATTATACTTGAAAGCACAAAACCATGCCTAGTATATGCCAGGCAATCAAAAGATGTTTACTGAAATAACGAAATAGAAATATTGGATTCATCTATTTGAGCTGGATGATACTAGGCAAAGATTATTTCAAAGAAAAGAAATTACTTAGAGATAAAGAGAAAGGGCAAAAGTTCTTTAATAGGTATAGTTTCAGTTTTGCAAGATGAAAGGTTTAGAGATTAAACTACATGCTTAAGATGGCAGAGATTATAAATTTTATGTTATATGATTTTACCACAATTTTTTAAAAAATTTTAAAAGAATTAACAAAGAGATAAGGGGCCAAATATGAATCAGGCAAATTAAACTTCAAGGAAACTTCATAGGAACATGGAAAAAGTGAGTAGAGAACTCTTAAAAAATACTGCTAGAGGTCTGAGGGTTTAGCTCAGTGGCATAAGTACCTGCCTGGCAAGCACGAGGTCGTGAGCTGGATCTCAAAAAAAAAAGCTAGACAACACAGTCAATGAAATCATGCACTGGACCTTTATATTCTGCTCTCACACATCACTGACATAACAAGAAGCCTTCAGAAATTTGTGAGCAGTGAAATGACATGATTATTCTGGAAAACCGACTCTGAAAAACAAATGTACACAGGTTGGAACAGACAACAGTGACACAAACAGCAAGAGAAAAGATAAACTAGAACACTACAAAAATAGCCTAGGTCTTGGCCACAAGAATGGAAAGAAAGGGATGAATACAGAAGAAGTTAAACCAAATTGGATTTTCACAATTAGGAGATACCTAATTATTTTCAGGACAGTGAGCAAGAAGAAAACCTAAATCACTCTAGCAAACTATTCCCTCTCAAGAATTTTTACAGTAAAAAGAAGATACAAATAAGGCATTAAAGGCAAGCAAAAACATAGACATGATTTGAGTAGTGAGCTGGAAGAAAATACTTTTTTTTGGAGACAGGGTCTTGCTCTGTAGTTCAGGCTGACCTTGAACTCACTTTGTAGCCCAGGCTGGCCTCGAACTCACAGCAATCTGCCTGCCTCAGCCTCCTGAGTGCTGGGATTACAGACATGTATCACCATACCTGGTAGACAATACTTTTCTTAGGACTGGAAAACATGAAATGTTTGGCAAACTGAATTTACCACCTCTAGGCCTGGCCCATATGTCCCACATAATTCTTTGTGCTCTTTCTTCCCTTGTCAAAACCCAGGGAGACTTAGAAACCAGTTACTGAAAATGCCAGCGCCTCCAACAGTACAGAACAGGCCCACCCTGCCACAACTTAACTGATATAAGTGTTAAATAAGTTTTCATTGTATACAGATTTCTTAAAAGGTAAAACTAAAAAAAAAAAAAAAAAAAAGTGGCATGAGCTGAGGAAGACAAGAGCCAACTAGAACAAGTCCAACAAAGAGGGCACTGGGGAGGCAGAGGCACGACTGAGAGTTTGAGGCCAGCCTGGGTACAGTGAGTTCAAGCCCCGCCCAAAATACATAGTGAGACCCCATCAAAAAAAAGTGAAGAGGATGGCAACAAATACTCTGTCTTACAGCTATCACTGCTGTTTATTTGGAAGACAAAAACAGATGTATCTTGTTTAACTGCATAAAGTCATACCAAAAAAAATTTAGGCAGAATACCATAATTTCATAACCATTAATTTCAGAGCAGTTTCTATATATCTTCTCCCCTACTTTGCTAGATCCCATTATCATTAACTCTTCCAACTGCATTAGAAAGGCTATAGTTTTCCATTAAATTTCTACTCAGAAATATCCCTAAATTGTTTTGCATACATACTAACAAGTTAATGATATTAAAAAGAAACAGCAGGATTCATTTAAACTGGGAGGAAAAGCAAAGAAAATAGATGATGAACCTCAAATGTTTCATTCTAAGTTAATCTTTCTCCTTAACTATTAAAATGTCTCATGAGGAACACAGGAAACCCCTAGGTTCCTTGATGAATGTTCAATTTTTAACATTAACAAACTTCTTTTAGTAAGATATCTCCTTTCTGTACCTGTTGGGACTCCAAGGTATAGTGGGAGTCATACTGATGTCTGGAAACAATACACCATTGTCCTTGATCCTATCTAGTGCATAATGCATTTCACAGAGGGGTAATCGATTTAATTGAAACTGAAGTTCAACCTGAAACACAAAAAGAATTTTTGAAAAAAAGCATTAAAGCAAACAAACATCAATGCTGGCAGCTCACTAGAACACTTTGTGGATATAACAGGAACAAGTTTAGAGAGTCTTTTAAAGTGTAGTCATATTCTAACAGTAAGTAGTATGCATAGTATTTGCTTTGTTTATTTAGGACCAAGCACAGCAATAAGCACTTTATCATGGATTATCTTGTTTTAAGAGTACTAATGGTATATAGACCGTTACTAAACACATTTTATATGTTAAGAAACTGAGTGGCTTGTAAAATAATCTCTAGATAAAGGTTAGCTGATTCCATTAATCCTATCAAGAACACATTTGATAAAACAGACCATCTGTGAAATATGTCTTGAATAATAACCAGCCCTTTTATACTGTATCAATTAACTAAGAATGAATAATATTCACCAGATTTTATGTTTAAAAGAAGAGGTCAGATTTCAGTTAAATATGACAGACTGAACACACAATTCAAGTAAAACCTTTAAATACAGAGAACAGGAGCAAATACAATTACAGGAGACATGTTCCCAGGATACAGCTTTAAATAGTTTCTCATCTGTTTTTCCATTGATGATTTAAGCTCTAAAAAACTTCAGCTTTGTATACAACTGGAACTTTCTAGATGTTAAATTTTTTAAAAAATTAATTTTCTGTGGGAGTTACCAAAAGTCCAATTCCAGATCCATCAATATAAGACTTCAAAGTTAATTGTTAACACTTTTGATTATACACAGCAGAAGACAAACCAAATTAAGAGGAGGATATTAGCTGATAATAGGACTTCAGACACCAATGGTTACGGTGCCACTTTCAAACACACCTGTGTATCACAGTCAGGCCGAAGATTAAGTTCTTCACAGCATTCCCTGGATATCCGTAAAAATATATACTCTTTTGTTTTTTCTTCAATAGTAGCTTCATAAACCTTCTCTTTGGTTCCCTGGCTCTGTACTAACTTCTCTTTAGGAACTGGTAATAAATAAACAGCATTGACTTTGGTCATCACCAGTCGTCCAGCCAAAGTATCTTCAGAAAGTGTCTCAGTAAGCTTAAAACGACCAAAAAGTTGTCCGTTTTGGGCATACTTTGCACCTCCAGAAACTCCAGTGAGCATGAAGCTTGCTAGAATCTGCAATTGCACTTTTAGGTTGAATCTAAATCAGACACAGAAAACTAAATTCAATATTTTACATCAAAAGCATAAAAACTTTAAGAGTAAAACAAGAATCAAATATGAACATACCCAAACCTGTAACTTCTACTGGTTTTACTCTATAACACTAAAGACTACATACTAGCTTTCTGCCTTATATCTAAGTTTTGCAAAGGACTCTTTCAATAGTGTTAATGAGTAACAACCAGAATAAACTCGTGTTCATGAAGACAAGAAGGCAGAGTTTGTGTAGGAATTTTGGGTACCTTTATTAGGCAACAGTGGGGCACTCGTACTTCTGTAGGTGCATGTAAACATGAAAGAACATACACGTGAAAGAGGCACCAACAAACCAGACTGTCAGACACTTGTCTTTTATCACATGAAGTAGGACTAGCAATGTTATCATGCTGGAAATAAGGAACATATTTCTTCCTTTTTCTTAGAAAGTTTAAAAATCCTCAATGAAAAATTTAAATTGTTTAATATCTTTGTGGAGAAGGCTACATTTAATATTATTGCTTTCAGATCTGTGTATATGACATCAAGAATATCTTGCAAATCCTTAAGAGGAAAAACATTTTTTAAAACATGAATTCCTTTCATGAAAATGTATATTTTTTGTATACTAGAAAACCAGCTATTATAAACAAAATACTATATTAAAATTTTGAATATCCATTCATATAATGTTTCAAATTACACAATATATGTCTTGTCTGTCTTAAAATCATCAGTGACTAGCCTAGAAGAATCTAACACTTTGAAAGCTCAGTAAATTTTCCATTTCTGTAATTTTCTGATTTTTTCTGGGTATCATATTCTCATTTCAGTAATTTTACATTATTCTCTAACAAATTCGTGAAATTCTGCCTTAGGCAATATATTAAAATTTCTATATCCATTTTAGAAACTGCTATCTCCAAACACTTGATCACTAGTTAGCAGGCAAGATAATGTAATCTCACAGTTTTAGAGCAACAAAATAATCGTCTTGTATCATTTAGTTGTGCCTCGTGACAAAGCTCTTGAGAGGCACAAAAAAAAAAAAAAATCAAACCCACTAAGAAATACAGATTTTCCCACAGAAGATTCATCATATTCAAAATGAAACTATTACAGACTTTCTACCAGAAGTTTCAGCTACAATACTTAATTTTTCTAAATTAACAAATTAAAACAAATTCCTTAGTAACAGGTATTAAAATAAAAGCATCTTTCCATTGTTGCATTCCACATTTCAAAATCAATCTTTAAGCTTAATATATGTTCTAAGCTTTGGGTAACTATAGAAAAACCAACCAAATTTTCAAAACACTTAAAACCATTCTTCTAGGTAGTGAGAAATACGGCTCTTTCAAACAGCAACAGTTCTACTTCTTAAGTAATACTTCACTGTCAAAGCTACGTAGTGAGCTTTTTTCCCATTGATTTTTGTCTACATGAACAACAAAAATCAAACCAAAGTAACAAGGCAATCCCTGGGGTTAATGAAGCAGAGCAACAGCACCAAGGGCTAACCAACAGAGCTGTGCCTATCTCCCTGAGGAAAAGTCCACTCCACATGAGACCTGCCATGCCAGACTGAGAGGGCACTGCAAAGCTAGGCGCAACAACCTGAGCAGGTAAGCCACTGTACCGGCGTTAATAGACACAAGTCTCAGCCAAAGTAAACTTCATTGGAAAATGTATCTCTTAGAATTTAACAGATTTTACCTGAAGGTAGAATCACTGATTTCACATCACCATGTGACAGAGAGTAAGTAAAAACAGATCTTAAAAAAATTCATGGGCTAGGGGTTTAGCTCAGCAGAATAAGCGCGTGCCTGGCAAGCATGAAGTCATAAATTCAATCTCTGGTACCAAAAGAAAGAGAATTCACAATGCTCTTTCCTTTTACTTATAAATATTTCACACTGTAAGAACATACTCAAATTTCTAGACTGCTTTTAAAGATCATCTCTTTTTTAAAAGATAAATTCATAACCAAATTCAAGATCAAGCAAAAAAATACGTATTTTCTCTAATCTTAGGAGCTGTCATTCAATCTATTTTCAAGGAAAGAATGCTAAAATGACTGTTTTTAAGGTAATAGCTTAGTACAGCACCTGTCTGGCAAGCATGAGGTCCCAAGGTCAATTCCTGATACCCCTCTCCCCAAAAAGATACAGTTCAGTCCTAATCAAAATGTAAGAAATCAGTACAAATTCCTAAATACTACTTTCATTTTTATTACTATTCTACTTAAATTGTCAAAATTCTTTCACTGATACAGTTTCTGAACCTCAGGAATATACCACCAATCCTGTAGTAGGTCAGATGATGATGTCACAGGATATTTCATTGACTAAAGAACACACCTATGAATGTCAGTACACCATCAAATCATTCAGACTTGAATCCACTTCCCCATACCATTGTTTCTATGCTTAAATTGGGTGTCAAACCACAACAGAACAATTCCAATAATGACTTGGGTTTACTCTGCTGACTGATACGGACTGAATAGACTCAAAAGAGCATGGACCAAAGACCAAAGTAACTCCCCAATTGTTTTTTGTACCACCCTTGAGTAAGAATATATTTTACAAAGAAAACTAACAACAACAACAAAAAAATACAACGCAGATCTTTCAGCTTATATCTAGATGTCTCCCAAAGCTTCATGAACTCACAGGTGGGGCTTTTCAGGGGTGGCTGGATTGAGGTATGTGATACTGGGATTAAGGGCATATGAATACAAATTAAAGGTGTGAAAACCAGATCCACTGATTGGCTTAACATAATTCTTGGTGGAAAGGCCCTTGTTCTGGGTGTGGGTGGTACCACCCAAAAGGCTTGCAACCTACACAGATTAAAAAGGAAAGTGAGGCTTGCTGCTGCTGTTCCACTGCCGCCTTCTGCTTGCCCTGCCATGAATCATTTCTCCTCTATGACGCCCCTGTGCCATCCTACTGTCTTGAAGCTAGCCAATTATAGACTGAACTATAATTAAACCTTTCTTCCTTTAACCTGTGGAAATTTTGCCCAAGCAACAAGAAAGTTACTAGAACATCAGACCATAATATAGGGTTCACAAAATCTGTATTTACTACCTGGCCCTTTATAAAGGAAGTTATTAAAAAAAAAAAAAAAAAAAGAGAGACCTACATTAGAACACAGTTAAGTAGATTCATTAAATAACAATCAGGACTGATTAAATAACAATCAGTGGCAGAGTGCTTGCCTTGCATGCACAAAAAATAATAATAATAATAAATGGGAGCTGGGGATTTAGCTTAGTGGTACATGAGTTTGCCTGGCAGGCATGAACTCATGGGTTTGACCCCTGGTACCCAAAAATAAACTAATTAACTAATTACTTAATTTTTAAAATGGCAAAATGTTTTAAAAAAGAATGACCAGTGGGAGTTAAATTTAAGGCAATGGTAAAACAAGTGGATATTATGCATAGTGAAGATAGGAATGATATTAAAATAAAGCAACACATTAAACTTTGTCGAAAACTAGAAAATCTTTACCAATGTAGTTTGTCTCCTATCTACCAATTCACAGATGTCCTCTTGAGAACTCTATAAATTGTGCAATGTACGTCACTAAATTTTACAAGTCAACCAAAATCAGAAGTGTAATTTGCCTGCCTTTATAGTGAGGGCTACCTTGGAGAAAGGTATCACTAGAATAATTTCCCTGAATTCTCTTGTATACTAACTAGCTACTTGTCACATATTAGATTTGCAGCAACAAATTTTCGTTTGTAAGAATCTTCACAATTCTTAAACAAGCCAGGTGTGGTGACACACGCTTCTACTCCCAGAATCTGAGAGGCTGAAGCAGGAGGACTGACTGAATTTGACACCAGCTTAGGCTATAAAGTTAGTTCAAGGTCAGCCTGAACTGCAGAACAAGACCTTGGTTCAGAAAGACAAAAGAAAGTCTCATACAGTTAACACATATAAAACATCAAAAGTGATCCTACATATTAAGATTCAATTTACAAATACTAAATTGAGTAAATAACTGTCTAATTTTAAAGATTAAAAACAAAAGTTCAAATATACCTGTGAAAAACGCTATATACTATCTTAACTCGAATCTATATAATCTATTTCCCTACAATCCTTTCTTTTAAACACACCTAAGGGCATTTTTTTTCTTTTCTTTTTTTTTTTTTTTTTTGTCTTTTTCCTTTTTATTGGTACCGGGGATCGAACTCACGACTGCCTGCTTGCAAGGCAGGTGCTTATGCCACTGAGCTAAATCCCCAGCCGCCCTAAGGGCATTTTTACAACATGAGTAGCAAGTGTTGCAACTGATGAGGTGGTAGTTTCTTATCCTTTATTTTTTCAAATTAAATATGTTGTCACTGAAGAACTTTCAGAAACAGGAACAACTATTAGAACATAAAATCACCTATAATTTTACCAATCAGAATATTTTACCTTAACTCTTTCCAGTATTTATACAAATATAAAGTATATATTTGTAATAAACAGAAAATTAGAATGTTAGTAGGAAAAGCTTTTATGATTAGCATGTTTTCAACCTTAATACGGTATTATTTGTATCTTCATCATATTAAACATCCTTCAAACACATAATTTCAATGGTTATATGATATTCAATTGATTTAACTTCTTACTACCCTTATAAAGTCATTTGAGTATAGATATCTTTATCTTCATCTCTAATTAAGTTATTTCTTCAGGAGGACTTCACATAAGTAGTATCACCTAACCAAATGGTCCAGTCCTTCCACAAGTCTTTAACAGGAAATACTAAGTAGCCCTTCAGAAATAGCACATCAACTCAGTTCATCATTCCTGCTCTCACTTCACATTGCTGACCTTTTCAAGGTACCCTGGTCTTGGCTTTGAAAGACTTTGCAAAGTGCTTCTAGAATTTTCAATCACTTCTTGTTTGTTTTTTGTTGTTTGGGGTTTTTTGTTTTGTGCTTTGAGACTAGCCTGAACTCACTATGTAGCCCAGCCTTGCCTCAAATTTGCAAAGATCCTTGTGCCTCAGACTTTCAAGTGCTGGAATAACAGGCGTGCACCACCATGCCTGACACAACCACTTAACTTCTTGTATCTAAACCTTCGTGGTGTTATAGCGTTTCTTCTTTCTATCCATTCAGAGAAATTTCCCTTTTAAAAGATTAATATAAATAATCTATAAGCTTTTTGGTCTTTTGCTTTAAGTTCTAAGGTAATAAAATGATTTATAAACTTAATAAAATATTAAATACCATGTAAGTTAATATAGTTTATAAATTTCTAGTATATACTCAAATTAATCTCCAAGATCCTAGCAATCTTTTACACACTATTTCATCCCAATATGTATGACATGTCACAATGTTCTTTCCTAGGAAAAGGGGTTTACAATAATATAAACCACATACATACACATCAGTAATGTGAATAATGTACATGATAGAAGTCACTATGCTTTTTTTTAAAATGATTTCATTAGAATAGTCTCTAGACACAATCAATAAAAAGCCTTTTAAGAGACCATAAATTGGGTAGTTCAGTGGCAGAGCCCCTGTGGTTACATAAAGGCCTTGAGTTTAATTTCCAACACCAAAACAATCAAACAAAAAAACAGACATGATGAAATATGACATAAAATTTTAGAATATACAGAAAGATAAATAATACTGACTTAGTACATTTTATATGAATTTAATTTGAAGCTAAATAATTCAAATGTTAGAATTTGCTTAATCTATAAATACATGGAAAGTATCTTTAAGTTTTCATTTCTTTTCTGAATCAATCCTTAATAACATTCAGAATCTATTAATGATATTTATGACAAGATACAAATAAGGTACCTTGTACAAGAAAAACATGTTGGACAGGCTGCAATTAAATGAAGAAATTTTATAAAATGTATTCATGCCTCATATTGTGGTTCAATTAAGGCTCATCTTCATTTTATCTCTAAATTAGAAAGCTACTATTACCAATCGTAACAATTATCTCAAGAACCTTTTCTTTCAGTCAAACTTTCACTTCTTTTTCCTAAAATAACCAAGTAAGTTTTTGATTTAAGCACTTGGGTCTTAACCTATGGCACATGGATAAAATATAAAGCATTTATAAACTGGTATAAAGCTATCCTATTACCAAAGTTTTCCTGAAGACCTAAATCATTTCACTCTTAAATAACTTTCAAAATGGGAGTTTTCATTTTTTTATAATTTTTCAGCATTCACTGAGTGCTTTCTATGACTACCATTCACCAAAACCTCCTGAAAGGAGGAATCACAGATTCATACTCCCAACAAGTGACAAAGAGCAGATCAATCCCATAGTAGATGCTTATGAAGGTCTTACAAAAATGAACAATGTAGTGAACACAGTTCTTGCCTTAATAAACTCGTAGTTCATTCAAAGGCAGATCACAACTACCGAAGAGCAACATGTTAGGATCTATCTTCACTTAGGCATACCTCCACTTCAAAAAGGGGAGACTTAAACATGTAAAAGTGTTTCTAAAGTAACTTACTTGCTGACTTCTTTATACTGGGCTATCTCCTCAATATAAAGGAGGTCGTGCAACCTTGACTGATAGTTGGTCTTGGTCAATGATTTGTCTAAAACAGACTGGGTAAATAGCTGGTCAGCAGACAGAGGAATTTGGTATCTGATAAGAAGGCTCTTCTCCAAATCAGTAGTTTCATTAGGTTCAAAATCTACAATAGTCTTAGAAGAAGAATCCCAGCGCTTGGTTGTGGTTACTAGCTGCTGCTTTGCATGCATCAGGTATTCAAGATCTAAAGGGAAACAAAACCACATTTATCAAAAGACACAACATTAAAATTCACAAATAATATAATACATACTTTTGTCAGTTTTATATGCTACAGCTAAAATTCTTAAAAGTAAAAAAATTAATTCACTGGGAGAGTATTTTCTCCATAACAGAAATATTTTTGGTCTATCTAAAAACAATATTAGTAGATATCCAAGTAAAGAATATAAGGCTAGGACATACCACAAGTAGTTATTAACATTTTTTAAGTGCAGATTAAAATTCAGAACTTAATTCTTCAGCAACAGAAATCTGATCTGCAGGGGAAACGTGTGAATTCCTTGTAGATAAATTTTTAAAAATAATAATTGCTTTCTTCCTCTTCCTAGCAATACCTGTCCCACTACAGAAAGAGAAAATCAAAATCCTGTGAAAGGTTAAATCTTTTGTGTGATAAAGCACAGTGAAACTATCTGAATGTCAATTTAATACAAATAAAAATAAAAATCTTTTAGAAGACAGACATGCATAATAGTGTTGATTCCTTATTAAAACCATGCTACTTCTGAAAAATTCCAGTTCACCCTCAGGAAAATCATACCATAAGTAGGGCACAATGTTAAGATGAGTAATTGTTCAAGTTCTGACATCGTTTGTAAAAATGTAGTACAGAATCAGCACATAATGACATTCACAAGAAACTCAGTATGTGACCACCCCATGTTAAATATGTCGTGCATATTATTTTCTACTGGATAGAATGTGCTTACATCTAAAAAAATGAAACATAATCAAAAGGAAAAAAATGTTACGCAGGTCACTCAAGAGGCCAAGATTCGGTTTTCATACAATATAATTTAAGATGGTTTCACAATTCATGTTAAAATTTGAAAAAGAAATATAAAATTCGAAGACCAGTGAATCTCTAGAGTACCAATGACAAGTTATTCTAAATTATCTTTGAAATAAGAATATAGGTATAATCCTGGCATGGTGGTGCACATCTGTAATCCTAGCACTAAGGAGGCTGAGGTAGGAGGATTATTTCAAGTGCAAGACCAGCCTGGTCTACAAAGTGAGCTCAAGGCCAGCCTGAACTGCATAGTGAAACCCTGCCTCAAAAAGACAAAAAAGGGGCTGGGGATTTAGCTCAGCGGCATAAGCACCTGCCTTGCAAGCAGGCGGTCGTGAGTTTGATCCCCGGTACTGATAAAAAGGAAAAAGACAAAAAAAGAAAGAGAAAGAGAGAGAGAGAGACAGACAGACAGACAGAGAGAGAAATATGTGTAATTATCATATCTTATTTAGTGAGTCATTCTGTAAATTTTAAATGTAGAGTCATCCATCAAAAGAAATTTCTCAATAGTAGCAAATAATGTCCTAAATTTTAACAAAAATAAAACCAAAAATATGAAGACCCCCCAATTTCTAACCTTTAATCCTTTAAAAGACATTTTTACATGACAAGTTTATTATTTCTCAATTGTAACATAATACAACTGTCATTATGATGTAAAGATGGTCAGCTCATTAAAATTTTATACTTAAGAAATACTCTAGTATATTATAAACATACAGAATTTCTTCCTCTTGAGATACAGTAAACAGAAACTAGAAATACATTTTAAGAGAAATCCATAAGAAAACAGTAAAGATGTATGTTTTTCAGTAGCCTCACAAGTTTCCTGATGTAAACTAATCATATCTTCTTCGTAAATCACTCTAAAATTAAGCTTTTCCTAGTAATTTATTAGAGGACAGCTACACAAAGGATTTAAATTATGTAAATAACAACCGTCCTGAAACAGAATATATCATGACCAAAATCAGATGCTCAAATGTATATAATTTTTATCCTAATCTCAAAAGTCAAAAAGGAAAAACAACAATGGCACAGCAAACCAAATAACCAGCTTTTTAAAAATAAAATTAAACTATATAATACTGAAGAATCTATTTAGTATGTAAAAAAAGGTTGTTTACTGTGTAGGAGAGAGACAATTATCTTTCGTAATCAAATTTTAAATTGTATTTTATTTAAATTAAGTCAGACTATGCTTAAATTAATACTGTAGTCACTTAGTCACTACTGTATTCAAAAGTTACTAGTTAGCCACCCTGGTAGCATATCCCTTAGTCCCAGCACTCTGCAAGCCTGAGACAAAAGGTTTGCAAGTTCAAGCCTACTTTGGCTTAGCAAACCCCTATGTAAAAAAATTTTTAAATTAACTCAGTTGGAAGGTCATGGATTCAACTTGCAGTACCATGTCAAAAAAAGAAGTCACTAGTTATTCTTAACTGATTATTAAATAGGTGAGACAATAACAAACCTAAAACTGTAGAACTTTTTATGAAAGCTTTTCATATTGCCTACCTATTGTTATGATTTGGGTCTAGATGTCCCCCGAAAGCCTCATGTAGTATTAGGCTTTTTAGGAGGTGGGTGAATCTAGAGTTTGTGATTGATTCAAGGCTCTGTGCTGGGATTAAGGTGTGAGTGACACCTGCCCTAGAGCAGGTAGCCTGCATAAGGGACAGAAAGAAGTCTGTCTCCTTCTCCCCTTTGTCGTTCTTGCCGTCTTCTGCACACATGAACTGTTGCCCCTCTGCCAAGTGCCATTCCGGCTTGAAACCAGTCAATTATGGCCCGAAACCTCTATAAACTCTCAGCTAAATAAACCTTGCCTCCTTTAACTTTGGGTGTTGAGTATTTTGCCTCAGAAAAGTAACTAAGGCACCTATTAAATATGCAAACCAAATTATACAGAAAGTCTTGCTACTCTTGGCCTCTAGTATTCACTTTTGGTAAAAACTGGCAAAAGCAACAGTATCTTCCTCATTTTACCTATATAGTACCATGATTCTAATCTTAATTTTAGGGAATCTTAAATGTGTCTTGAGGAAGTAGTGTAACAATTCCAAAACAACTCTCAATGTTAAATTTTATCTCATCTACCCTACTACAAAAAATCATGAATATAAAATGGTCAGTTTTACAAAAAAGCATTTCTCTTTCCCTACTTTATGTGAAATCTGCCTCCATCCCTTCACTTGTAAGGAGGAACTATACCTGTTTAATGACCCATGGAATTTTTACTAGTTAAAGGTCACTAGGTCTTCAGAATGCCTCTTTAAACATGGAAGGGAGAGGGAGGTGAAGTTCTTTAGGGAGGACACTGACATGACTGCCGTTGTGTCTGTCTGTCTTCCCTGTCTGCAGTATATGCATGCCTGCCAACATCTAAGCCAGATCAACACTACTAGGACAGCCTGAGCCAGCACATCTCTGCTGTATACCTTTCCATACCCTACAGAAGGCTAAAACACTCTAGAAAGACAAAAAGAGTTTAAGTTAGAACCAAAATACCTAAAACAGTTAACAGTGATTCATGAACCAATGTGTAAAAGAATAAAAATCAAAGTAAACCCATCAGAAATTATAAATCTATGGAATTTCTTCCCAAGATATGGTAAACAGAAACTAGAAATACATTTTAAGAGAAATAAATAAGAAAAAATTAAAGTTAATTAGAATATATCTAATCTATTAAAGCTAATAAAAGGACTGCTGCCATCAAAAACAAAATTCAAGACTAGAATAAACATTCTGACACAAGACATACTTCAAAATTTCCCCACTCTTCTGATATTGAGAACAGCAGATGCTCAGTTCAGCTATAAAGTTATTCTAATACAGCATCCTGAGGTTTACTTTAAACATGTAATGCAGTTATCTCAAAAAATATCTTTAACTCAAAAGCTTGTAGAGTGACAAAGAAAACTTTTTAAAGGAGAAAGTACTTAGTGATCTAAGTCCCCAGAAGTAGACCTGACACGTAAGGTAAATGCAAAATGTGTGTTAAATACAAAATTTATTTAAAAGAGTTAAATGTTTCTAAGACTTACAGAAAATAAAATGAAATGCTTCTATTTCACAAATCAGATACCATACTCTTTATTTTTCTCATACTCTTTAACAGAAAATATCGTGACTGTCGTAACAATTATATAAAATGCCGAAGTAATCCCAAACTACCACTTCCACCATCCAGCTCAGTATTCTTCCCTTCCCCAAAACTGTTAGCTACTGTCTCTTTGCTGTCTGTCCCTAATTTCACTCTCTTTACTAAAGAGGTTAACAAAAAATTAGAACAGCAGCGTGTGACATAGGAATAGCTCAAAGTTCCTACATATTTCTTCTCAGTTACATATAACTTTTACTGATGAGTTTGTTTAATCTGTTCGGTCTTGGCATGGTGGCTCATGCCTATAATCTCAGCCCTAAGGCAAGAGGAGCCATGAGTTCAAGGCCAACCTTGGCTATATAGTGAGTTTAAGGCCAGTTTAAAATACATATCAAGATCGTATCTCAAAAAAATCGAACAATAAATAAAGAATAAGTTAAAATCTATTTTTCTATTGCTTTTCTGATCACATATTACATAGATACAGGTATATAATACATTCTTAATTTACCAACAACTTTGGCAGTTGGAAATTGCTTTAAGTCATAGTAAAATTTTATATGATGTTAACATGTCCTGCTAGACTCAAAGAAATATAGAGTACATCAAGCTTTTAGATCTAACCATATGAATAAATTTTCAACACGTTGCCTCCAGATATTCACAACACAATTCCAAACTGATATTTCAATGCAAAAACTTCCATTAATCAAAGTTGTGGTATAAAGTATAATTCAATTTGTTTTCTAAGCAAGGGAAAAACTCACTAATTTCCTTCTTTTGTAGATGCCTTTTGTCACATGTTTTTAAGAAGACATATCTCCAATTTTAATCCAAAAAAAAAACTTCTAGTACATGTCATTTTCTGAACCTGGATCTCACCAGCAAAGAAAAAAACTGGGCAAAAAATGTTAGTTATAAGTGTTTCTTGAGTAGTCTGTAGGATTGTCATACAACTAGAAAAAAAATTCATTCAACAGCCTATAAAATAGAAAGCTCTAGATACATTAGATATTACAATAAAACAGAAAAATTATGTTGTTTTCTTTTCTTTATTCAACTCAAATTAGAATTAACTTTAAAAAACAAATTTTAGTTTGATACTGAACAACAAATTGTGGAAATCCAAGCTGCATATAACTTCATTTTGAGTTTCAGTGAGTCATACACTAATGAAGTCTGATACCTACTAAGAGTTTTCAATCACTCTGGCACACTGTAAATCTAAGACAGAAACGCAGCAAGAAGCATTTCCACACTTCTGTATACATGCACGTCTTTACCATAGGTGTTGCTATGATTTTCACTAGAACACAGTTTAGGAAACACTGAACTAAACTAAAAGGTGGCCCAGCATGGTCTAAATCTACAACTTTATGGGAAAAAAATTCCAGAATTAATTTAAAGACAAAACTTTGACTAATCAATGAATAGTCAAATGGAAGAAGCAATAAAGATATTTCTCATTCAAATTAGTTGCACACCATCACTAAATTTGTATTGTAAAACTAAATTATAATTTATAATGAAATAAAGACTGTATGGAAACAAGAAGGACCCCAGATCTAATTCAATTTCCAACTGTATTTGTCCCATCTAAACCTGGAATGACATTTTTCTCCTAATCACATACCCAGAAAGTCCAAGAATGAACTGGCTGAGGCTGGAAGTAAAATGAGCTGGGCAGGTACACTGCAACAATCTAACAATGTAGAAATTTGGCTCAGTATCACTAAATGTGGTCCATGTAAGTATTAATATGAAATGATACAAAATGATACTTCCACTTTACATCTTTATGATTCACAATGTTTTATAAATTTTAACTGTAGAAAGATTTCTGTTCTCAAATTTTTGCTCATAAAACTCTGCTTTGATAATGAAAACTACTGACTAGTACTAAGAAATAAGCAGCAAACAAATATTATTTACATCCTGCTTTTATTTCTCCACAATTCTGTTAGGACTCAGTACACAATCACACTGAAAAATATGTAATCATGCAATAAAAAAAAAAATGTAAGGCCAGGTGAGGTGGCCCACACCTGTAATTCTGGCACTTTCAAGGCTTAGACAGGAGCATCATGTGAGTACGAGGCCAGTTTGGGTGACACAGTGCATTCAAGGCCAGCCTGAACTACACAGTAAAACCTATCTCAAAAAACAAAACAAAATGAAATGAAACAAAATTTAGGAACTTACAAAAAATGATGATATTTTCAAGGACATCAACTTAAAGAAGAGTAGGGAAATTTTTAAACATAAAGGTAAAAATTAGAACATTAGGTCATCACCAACATTGCAAAATAAATAAATAAGCAAACAAATAAATGCTTATATCAGAAACTAGAATGTGTACAATTTATACTGCTATCTAGTAATATTTACTTTTCCTATTATTGCAAAAGGAGTTTCACTATGGGAAATTATTTTAATGTTTTCCAAATTAATTCAACAAAATGCTGGCCAGGCATAATGACGCATACCTATAATCCCAACACTTGGGAGACCGAGGCAGGAGAATTACCTCAAGTTTGAGGCCACCCACGAGTTTGAGGCCACTCTGAACTACACAGCAAGATCCTGCCTTACTAAAAAAAAAAAAAAGCTTAATTTTTCAATTATTTTTGTAAAATAATTTCTTAGAACTATTTCTCTAGTTATCAGACTCAAAACACTAATCCTCTTGAATAATCTTTTTCATATAATCACTAAATGCCTACTACAGCCAAACATTATGTGAGGCTTATTTCTTGAGTTTTTCAATTGTTTCTTTTTTTTCTTTTTGGTACCAGGAATCAAACTCACAACCTCACACTTGCCAGGCAGGCACTTGTGCCACAAAGCTCAATCTCCGGCCCAAGGTTTATTTCTAGTCCTCAAAATCCTCTCATATTATAAGCCCAAATTTACAGATGCTTCCTAATGAAATTCAGATATTAAGTATTCTACCCAGGGTCATAGTGGTAATATGGACAAAAATTAGGATTCAAATCCAATTCTATTTGACTCTAAATTTTATCTACTGTTCTTCCTCTCCAACTAGAAAAGTGGCACAAAGCTGAGACAAAAGCAGTCAACCTAAGTCTCACTGTTCTGTACCCAGTTAAAGTGCCCTTTTAAAAACTCTCTTCTTCATCTTTTCTCATTATTGGCGGTTTTAGGAATATCACTTTCACTTCAATTTGTTTTCTGAATACATTTAACATTTTTGGTTATTAATTAGTTTTTATTAACTAGTATGAATTCTTGACGTTTCTTTAGAAAAATTAGTCATGAGTTAAGAGATCACCAATCTAAATGCGAACTTTTGGGGCTGGGGATTTAGCTCAGTGGCATAAGTACCTGCCTTGCAAGCAGGCGGTCGTGAGTTCGATCCCTGGTACCGATAAAAAATGAAAAAGACAAAAAAATAAATAAATAAATAAATAAATAAATAAATGCGAACTTTTAAAATACAACCCACAGATAAACCAAGAGCATCTATTACAACTTATATTTGAGTAGGGAATAAATAAGGGTCTCTCCTTATGATTTGAAACTCCTTGCAAACCAGACCTGACTCTGGGAGCCTGAAGCAGGAAGATCACAGCCTGGGCAACTTAGCAAGACCCTGTCTCAAAATAAAAGAGTTAATGATGTAGTTCAGTGTGTGGATCCTGAGTTCAATCCCCAGTACCGTGTCCTACCCACCCAAGCAAATCTTATAATTTAAAAAGTGTGTTTTTCATTACTACATAGTCCTAAAATTCTGGACACTGAAAGCAACTTACTATAGCACTGAGCCCAATCCAACACACTGTTGTTTGTGAAAACAAGATTCTAGTGGAACATAGTCACACCCATTTGTTTACATACAGTCCCACCTCTGGCTGCTTTCTCACAACGCAGACTGAACAACTATGACAGAAACCCTTTGTCCTGTAACACCTAAAATATTTACTAGAAAGAATATTCGTAGAAAAAATTTGCCTAACCCTATGCTTTTATTTTTACTTTATTAACTCTCATATCTATTTTACTATGGAAATTAACTTACTTTGATTCCAAGAGTACTGAATAGCATATTACAAAATACAAACATTTAAAAAGAATCAAAGTAAAAGAAAATCAAGGTAAAATAAAGTCTTGGTAATATTAACACACATACAGGAATATGTTGCCTAACTGTAAAATTTGAACACAAATGTTTCTTTAACCTCACCTAGCAGTTAAAAAAGGAGACAGACTAACTCCATCTGTTCACTATGTCCAAACAATAAAATCAAATCATTTGCCCAGGAAAAAAACAACTTTTTCTAGGTTCTCATAAATGGGATACTGTGGTATATAATGAAAAATATCCTCCACATTATGGTCAGGTATAAGTAATAGCAAGTTTCATAAAACTTAGCTATGTCATAAAGTGTTAAATACTTAAGCGTTTATTAAATAAAATAAAGTACCTATGAATTCAATCAAAAGCCTGTTGAATCTAGGCATAAAATTTACATATAGGCAATAACACAACAACTTATAAAATAGCAAATCATCTTTTGCAGGTGCTTACAAAAACCAGGGATCTCTTTCCAAAAACAAAGTGGATCCCATTAAAGGTACCCTGATCTCCTTAACAGTAGTGGACATACAAACTGACTTATGAAGACTTATCCTAAGGACTTTCATTCCCAAAGAATGTATTAATGTCAACAAAGCTAATTTGCCAGTCAGTAAGACATGGTAACAGACATTGAAAGTGTACATACAATTACCATTAAAAAGGCATTCTACAAAACTAAGACTGAAAGATTTTATTGTGCTAAAATCATCTCATTAAAAAAAAAAAATGATAGACCAAAACATACCTTTTGACTCAAATAAATTTAGAGGATCTCAAAGCAAGATTTGCCCAGTGACTGAATGAACAAACCAGGGCACAGAGTGAACCATTCTAAACCCATTACACAGTAAATGAATCCATTAATTTAGACTTTTCTCATTTTTCCTTCCTTATCCTGGGAACACTTAGGGGCCAATACATATCTTTTTAATGTTGCCTTTGAATACATTGCATCAGGGAAAAAAGTCTAAATATTACCTTCTGTAGAAGCTGCATCAATCATTACTCTTTGCATGAGTACTGGTTCCAATCCAAAGTCGAAAACTATGGTTTGGCGAAAAGTTCCAAATATTTCTGTGTTAAATGCTATCCCGACTTTATACACGTAATGATCTAATCCATTTTGGGCCATCTTTCCTCCTATCCATTCTTGACAGTTTTCTGGGACTTCTTGTGATACCTGGGTAGTACTATCTCCGGCAGATATTGCAATGATACTAAAATGAGGACGATGAGCATCATAAAGCAATGCTACACGATACAGCATTCTTGCAGGCTACAAGGAAGTTAAAATAATTCATTGAGTACAAGGGGATGAAAAATCCAGTTGTAATTGGGCTCTTCAATGAAAATTATTTTCATAATGGATTGTTAGTTTCTCATGCTCCTACTATTATGTTCAAACTATAAATTGTGTGCATATGCTATTTAAAAAGGAAACACACACATGAATGGTTTTAAAAAACTCAGTTGTTAAAATGAGTACTATACTATAGCACTAGCCTGCCTACTCCTTCAGTGACATGTTTATTTTTCATTGTGGCAAAATCTGTCAACCTGTTATCACCCTCAATCTCTAACTTTCCATACCCTTTGTCTAAAAATTTTATGAAACCTCAAGTAGGAAGTCTTCATAGGAGGGGAGTTACCTCTGAAAGCTCTGGACTGGGCTCAGGACTGAAGCTTAACATTTCTAGATTTTTCATCTCAAAATACAGAAAGAACAGTGGAAAAAACAAAATAAAACTTTTCCACTGCACAGTCACAATTTTTTTAACTTTATTCAGTCTTAAATTTTGACTACCGTAATTTAAGACGAATAGGACTTAATACAAAAAAAGTATCATATTAAGCTATTATTACAGAATTTATGACCTCATAAAATCAAATTTAAAAACAAGTTGTAACTGTTTAAATATCTTAGAATTGCCAAAGTAAATCATTCAATTTTTAAATTATTAATTGTAAGCCATGAATCCTATCTTATGTTCCTTGGAAGACAGTCTGTCAGAGAAGTCATCACCTAATAAATAAATAAACAAACTAAAAAAGAGCATCTTAAACATCTACAAAGATCTTAGCTCAAAGTAAAAAAAAAAAAAATTAATGTACTTTTAATCACTGTAATACAAAAATCCAATTTAGTACAATCAAGAACCTACAGAAGATATACTTAGATTAAAATGCTATTATTTCTCTCTTAACACAGATATATAAAAGTCAAAAAAACCTTTGGGAATGGAATAAAATTTATATTCTTAGCATAAAATTCATACCTTACAAGTGAGAGCAAAAGTCCATATCTGATGCGATTTTTTGGTGTTGACAGTAACAGACAAGTCGGGGTTATGCTCTACCTTTACTCCTTCTATACATTCACTAAGCTGGAAATAAAGAACAAATAATGTTATGGTTTTGTTACAAAAAGCACAAATAAAAACCTTGACATGGTAAATAATGTCACCAGTAAAGATAATAATGAACTGTTTGCCATGAAATTTTTTACATTTATTCTCAACTAGTTATACAAGAAAATAAAGCTAAAATAAGAAATGGAAGAAAATTAACACCAACCAAAAAATAGCAATCAAAACCTGCCTGAAAAATAATTAATATAACACCTACAAATTCTGTACTTAATTTTAACAAATATGCCTGCTTTTGCTGCTAAAATATCATTTTATAAGGAATCAAGTTCTTCATATATTAATAGAGGAAATAAAAGCAAAATACTGTTTAGCACAGTCAAAATTCAAAAGGTCAAAATTCAAACAAGTTCACTGTTTAAAACAACCAAAACAAAAAAAGTAGTTTATTTTCCTCACCACTTTCTCAGGAGATAATGAATTCATCCATTTTTCTATCAAGGTTTCCATGTAACTGCCTGAGAGCTGTTTATTCTCATTTTGCTGTTTCAATTTTATCAACCGTGAAGCGTATCTTTTCTGCCATTCTGCTAGTTCTTCCTGGGAATGTGCTGAAGTACACTGGGCACCATACCTACAGATTCCTTGCTCTAAAAATCTAAGTGGAATAGGAAAGACTGTTTTATCATATATTTTGCTTAATCATTTCATGAAAGACTTCCAACATTCGTGCTCTGCCTCCTCAATAACAACAACAACAACAACTGAAACGTTGTATTTATTACACTTTCCTATAGTGACAGAGATACGGTTTAAAGACATGAAAATAATACTCCTAATAATCAAAACGTCAACCCCATATTTAAGTGACTTGTTTCTTTGGGATTCTAGTGGAATCCTAATACATAACATATTTATGATCTCTTTCTCCACAAAAGACAGAACTTGCTTCCTTTGAGATACAAGGACTCTATTATACAATTCCTTTTAGGACAGACTTTTTTTAAAGCAAATGGATTAACTGCTGATACACAGCTATACCACACTTCCCAAAATGATATGACCTAAAGAAAACATTCTACACACTAGAAATGTTATTCTGAATAAAAATTACTGTCACTAAGTTATCACTTTATTCTACTTTTCACCTTAAATGTTAATACTTTTCCTTTCTACACATTACTTATATTTCATTGAATACTGGAGAATTTAAAGTGCAAACACATTTAGAGAATTTTATATTACAGAGTCACAAATTTACTTAGCAGTCATATTCAATTTTTGAAGGGGTAAATATATAATGTTATTTTAAAGATACAGAGATAAATATTTCTCAATGTTTGTGATTCAAAACACTGGATTTACTATAATTAACAATAATATAATGTATACTTCAAAAAGTTAGAAGATTTCCAATGTTTTCACCACAAAGAAATAAAAAATGTTTAAGGTGATGGATACACTAATTACACTGATTTGATTAGTATACAATGGATACAAATTTCTAAATATACCGTGTCCCATGAAAGTACACTGATCTATCAAGCAAAAATAAATTCAAAAGCTTTTACATCATCTATATAGATTACATTAAAATAGCTATTTTTTCAGAAAGTTACTAAAATAATTTGATATGCTTATATTCTTTATGTTCTAATTTATATAATTTGGGGTCAAAATCAGATTTTTAAAAGCCTTTGATCATTAACGTACTTTAAATATCCTAAAAAATTATTGTTAGGCTAGTTTTAAATCAGTGATAACATTTCAGAATTAACAGATCTTCTTCTAAGAGAAAAAATAAAAACCATAAATAGCAAAATAGACAGGAGAAACATCATAGACAATTTTCAGCTGGAAAAAATATGGCCAGTAAAGACTACAAGATGAACCACAGCCCATTATAAATGGTCAAATGGCTCAACACACTGAAAAGCTGATCATATCTAAAGTTTTTCCTAATGGTAAAAATGAAGCACTTAAAATGACATTGTTAAATTATTTTATGCTTCAGAAGATACTAAAAACTATGCATTCATGTGCTTAAATATAGTGTCTTCATGGGCCAAATTTGTCTTTGTGTACTTTGCTTTAAAGTTACTTGCCGGAAAAATTTTCATCTGATTATAAAAATTATCTCAGATTTCCTTTATAGGATTGTGCTATCCTACAACATGAAGGATTTTCAGTATTTACTACCTAGTTTCGTTGTCTCTACTATAAAATCAAATCTGATGTCTTGATTATCTAATTACCAAAATTCACATATCAAATTTTCCTTTATTATCAAAAGCAATCTAGAGTTGTGAGATTTAAAACCCCACAAGTTACTAAGTCTCACAAACCCCACTAGTTACTAAGTCTCACAAAAAGAAATTATAAGCTCACTTTTTAAAATGTAAATTGGGAATTCTTTTCACATTAATATATGATCTCTAAAGTTTGAAAGGTTAGTCGTGCAACTGGAAGTTCCTTATAAATTCTATGTAAGGATTACATGAAGATAGGTATTTTTTAAGAAAGTTATTAAAATAATAAGTCTGTTTTATGCTCTACTTCAGTTAATATAATTTCAACTTTTATCAGTATACCTAGTGTAAATTTCCTATTAACAAAAGACCAGCAATTAAACTCATCCATAATAGCGTGACTGGTAACATAAAAGACTTCTGAACAAAGCCTTAATGACCTGCATTTAGATCACTGTTGTTTGTAATTAAGAGAAGGCTCATGGATATGGTTTTGAGTTTTAGTACTTAATGACAATGACCTTTATGACTTCGGTTTCAAATGGAAATAATTATTTTATTCACTATCATTCTACTTTTTCTTCCTTCACACACTATCTTCTTTGAATTTGATTACAACTTTCCAAAAAGTGAAGGAAAATTGTCTATCCTTTCAACAAAGACATGTAATTGGTTTAAAAAGAAAATTCACATTACCTTTTACACAAAGTATATTCCTCGCTGCTTGTGATTCCCCTAGGTGGTGGGCGGAAATGCCAACCATTACAAGACCCTAGGGAGTAATCAGGATATAGTCTTATCATTTGAGGCTACCTAGTAGTTCTGATATTTTAATGTGTAAGAAACACTACAATCCCTCCATGCACATCATCCCAGATGATGTAAAAAAGATGACATATTTGCCTCTAAGAAAAAGTCTATGTTAAAGGTCAAGTTAAATACATCAACTATGGGAAAATGCAGAACTCACTGCAGAAGCAGCTACCCCACAGTTAAGTCAAGTTGGTCCTGATTGCACTCTAGCGACTAGTGGGCCTATCCAGTATAGTCTCTTCCTAAGAACTCTGGAGGGAGTTGGGCACGCTTGCCGTTTCTAAAGCATGGACTATGCTTCTATCAGGAATTCCTTCAGGAATGGAAAAATGACTGCATCCTGAAAGGAAATCTTATATAATAAATCTCACCTCTGCATGCCTTGTGAAAAGAATCTCCACACTGTTATCCACATCGCTTACAATTTGTGTGACTCATGTCACAATATGACGTAATCCTTTTTTATAACTGAAATAAAGTTCAACCAGTTGAATTCTGATACAAGAACTAAAAAACAGCTTTGATCCCTCTTGA